GAGGGAGAGGGGAAAGGGTGGACACCGGGTCTCCGATTGTACGTGTCGGCGTGTACGTGCGTGGAAAAGTGGCCGCTCCATCATATTTAACTCGGATAGCCAATCACCCTTGTCACTCGGGCCGGGTGATAGATTATTTTAATCAAGTTACTCACCTGGCTGGCTCAACCTCGATCATTTTCCTGCGCGGAGACGCTCCGAACTACGTCTCCGGCTGCACCCTGGCATAAAAATCGAATTAACCGGCGCGTAAATGGAGCCCTAATCTGGAAATCGTTTCCTAGGGTCTCCTAGGGTTTTCCAATCGTTTGCCAAGGGAGTTCTGGTAATTTCCAAGGCTGGCCAACCTTCCGATAATCTATTTTTTAAGCCCTCTGACGAGCGATTGATTCGTCTGGGCGACTCGCTGCCACATGGCCCCGATTGAACGTTCCCGATGCTTTTTCCTCGGTGATTTACACGGGGGGGGGGGGGGGGGGGGGGGCACCGGATCGGATATCGCTCGGCCGTTTTAATATGAAGAAAGTTGCGACTGCCCGGCCGGTAAAGTAGGTTTCTCCAGCGTGCTCCCGTCCGGCAGTTTCTTCTTGCGGATTACGGAGCCGGTGTGTTGATGGGATTTGGATGGCGTTTGTTCGTCTACGCTCCACCGCGATCTTTGGTTTTCAACTTTCGGGTGGAAATGGTATTTAGTCTCTGTCGACCATCGATTTCTACGAGCGACAGCGTAGCGTTTCACTCTTCAATGTGACACTTTCTCAATCTTTTGAAAATCCAAGTTCACGCAATGGGACAAGGATTTCCGAAATTCCCTTGGGATATCTGTCGATCTTTGATTAAAATCACGAGGGATCCGCCCATGCAATTACGTCCTTCAAAGAGACGTCGGCGTGCCGATCGACGGATCAAAGAGAAGAGATCCTTTCATTAGAATCCATTTAAGGGGGACCAGCTTTCACGAAACAGCGAAAGAACGAGCGTATCACGTGCCGAAAATTAACAGTGCCGCTCGTAACATCTTCCAGGAACCTGTCCTAACCTAATTTATCAAACGCAAAACGTCGAATCGCATGCACACCGTCTGTACGGCGTTTGGCAATTACAGAACACTCGGTACATTTGTACCGAACGGGGAGCAGTTGGTTTTAAAAACCACGGGACACGCACTGTACACGCGCGTGTCGTGATCCTCGCTATAAAGAACGCACCACGTTGGGGAGAAACGATCACGGGGAAACGAAAGAGAGAGAGAAAGAAAGAGAGAGAGAGAGAAAGAGAAGGATTAAAGAAGCTTCGTTGTTGCGCGAGTTTGTAGAAACACCATTTCGTCGAACGAACTTGAAGTGGCGAACGGAATTGTATCGAGACAGCGAAATTGAAAAGAATTTTGTCTTCGTTTTTTTAGAGAAACAACAATACGATTTTTTTTTTTTTTTTTTTTTGAATCTACACAATTGTAGGTTGTTTTTTTTAGAAATTTGAAGGTGAACTTTGAATTTTGCGGGCGTTATATTTGAAAAATAATTATTTAAATAACGCGTCGACTCGATGTTATCTTGAAATAATTCTACGCCGGTTGATCTGAATAAATAATTCCTCTCTAAATGATTAAACTGTCTGGCTACCAAATAAAATAGCCTCTCGTTTCATTTCGTACTTTGTATCTGTTTCTTAAAGTAATTTCCAATTCTGTTGTAGAAATTTCTATATTTTCCCCACCTGTAGAAAATTCTCATTTGACAAACGATTTCGTCCGACATTGACTCGAGACGAAATCATTTATTCTTTAATCTGAATTAATTTTCAAATTTAGTGGAAATTATTCAAATTGTAATTTTTCAACGAAGCTTTTGCCAGCCGTGGAATTTTATCAAAAAAAAAAAAAAAAATCCCTTTTGTGTGAAACTCGTGCTCGAATCGTATGTACGCGCGCTTGCCCTCGCCGAGAACGAGCCAAGATCGTCGACAATAGATCGTCGACAAGGATTTCTACAAACTTGTCGGAAGACAGAGTTTCCAGCGGGAACCGGAGACAACTGCACCGGTTGATTCGCAGAATATTTCGAAGGTTGCCAAGGCCGGCACGAGTGGAGCTTGTAAAAATGACGAATCTCCTTAGAAAGATCGGATTATCAGGTTGTCAATTTCGTTCTCCGTCTGTCGAGTTTTCTATCGCACCTCTAGCGAAGGATTACAAGCTGAAGACGCCAGCGATTAAGCATTGTTCCATCCGTTGCCGAGGCGTTTTGCATTTAATAAGTCCGAGTGTTTCGAAATCCTGCTGCCAGCCCGGATGGAATGTTTCTCGCGAACGTAATCCAACCTTCCTCTTTTCTCTCTCTCTCTCCGTGTATATTCCTTCTCAGATTCTGTCTACGCGTTTTTCCCCGCCGCGATTACTTCGGGGTTATTGCACCAGCTGGAACAGCAGCGCAACGTAGTTCTCGAACTACGGCGGCAAGCGTGCATTAAGACGATTCGAGAAATGGAGGTTTTCGACCGGTTCTGTAATCTGTTCTAAGCTCTGCTCTGGCTCCGGTGTGGGTGAAATTGTTTGGTCTCAGACCGGGGGTTTTTCGCGATTCTCGCCGCCGTCGTTTGACGCTCTCCTCTGAGAGCTGAAAGCTAGAATTTCATCGTTTCAATTATACTCGTGAAAATTCTCACGGTTAATACAACGAATCAGTTTCCTGCGAACCGGACGCCCTACTCCTGTGCAGATTCACATTATGGACAAATATGTAATCCGAAAAATATCATAGCGAGCACTTTATGCTTCGAACACTGCACATTTGTCAATGTGGTGCGAGTTGGTAGTTTGCAAATGCTTCCAATCGTCGCCCAACCTGTAATGTTATTCATAACGTCGTAGGGATCAATCGCTGTCGTTGTCCTATGAAATTCGCATTTCGTTAGGAAAAAAAAAAAAAAAAAAAAA